AGAAAGGAAGGCTCGAGCTGTCATACTGCCCCACGTCCGAGATGGCAGCCGACTACTTGACCAAGAAACTCGGAAAGCAGAAGTTCGACTACTGCATGCTGCTGACTGGACAGAGCCACGTCACCAGCAGCGACACTCCAGAAGCGAAGGGGAGTGTTGGAAACAATCGATCTTAAGCGCCTCTGTCGTGTCGAAACACTAAGGCACAAACGAAGCGAAGCATATCGAAGCACCGGCGAGTCAACCCTCGGAGGTTGAAAACAACTGTTGGAGGTTACGCGAAAGCCAAAGGTCAGCGACCTTTGACCTGACAGAGTACAGCGCGACAGCAAGGACACACAACTGACTCGCTACAGAGCAGTTGCCCGAGTCGTCACTGTATCGAACCGCAACAGCAACAGTAAAACAGTTATAACTGTAACCTTTCGTATTCCTTGTACTCTTATATAATCTTGTATCTCTTTGCTTTAATCAATCTACTTTGCCCTCACATACTAGCTCAAGGTGGTTCACAACTCTTCATTTAACGCTTCCGCTATTACATCAGTCCTACCCAGAGTTCACCCCTGCAAAGATCCTAAGGGCTATTTTCTCAGCCCAACAGTTCATACAGGCCCTCGGTTGCTGTAGGTTTGTCTCTTGTTTGTTGCTCTGCTTGTCATGCCTTATACATATATGCATATACCTATATATACACATATATATCTGTGAACTCTTCAACTGCCCTTATGGCCCCCTGCTTGCTCTCTGACTGTGTGATGACTTCGTGATCCAGCCTGAGCTCTGTGTTGTTACTTCTCTTGACCGTTCTTGTGACCAATTGTCTCTCTTGCTCATTTTGATGCCCCTCAAAATGAGGTAGTAAATTATAAACATATTTACCAGGCTGTAGTGAGGTACACGTTAGGGGGTACTAAATATCTCTCGACTCTCACACTTGTAGCCCCCCATTTCTAGTGCATCACATTCCGCTAAGTATACTTCTAAGAAAGAACAACGAGTGGATTGCATGGTGATGTGCCCATGTCCCTGGAGACTCGTGTTCGCGCATTATTACACAATTAAAAAAATGGACTACACATCCTAATGATAATTGCATTCAAATACAACTTTAGAAACTGTATCATTATCATAAGACCCAGTCACCCTGGTCTTATGGAATTAGTACCATATGATAAGACTCCCCACAACATTTTCTTGTAGTTTTCATAAGACCCTACGGTCTAATATCCGGGTGATGACGGTAAGCACAATGCCGCGAGCGCAAAAAAGTGCCAAGCCAGTTCATTGATCCTTTATGTCTTGGCAAAGAAACCCTTGAAGGGGAATACTTCGCAAAATGGAGTAGGGCGATCAATCTACGTACGTCCTCTTCTACATCACCGCATGGAGGCAAAATGTGGCAGCTGTGAAAAAAGGATGATCATGGTCTGATAGAGCTTGATTTGAAAAGAAGAGCCCTCATGGATACATGCTACTATAAGACAACCGCAGGCAAACAGAGCAACATGCCAATCCACAACCTACTCACTGCACAATCATAACCGTTATTAAGGTTCCTAAACATTTCAATGCTGCGGCTGTATCTCTTAGCGATCAGCATGCCGCACGTGTCGCCACGCCTCACACTGTACGTTCTCTTGGTTGAACAGGACAGGCCCGAGACAGGACGAGCGTCAACACCGGCCACACAGACCTGCCAATTGTCACGAAACAGGGTCCGTGAAAACAGGGTCTGCGTGAGACAACCGAGGAAACATCGAAGCTTAAAAGCTCACTCCCGACAAAAGCTCACACTGCTGCCAGCAACAGCCTACTGACCTTCCTTGTTCCCCACCACTCACACCCCTCGGCTCCCTAGCTCTACCACTTACCCTGGCCTCTTGAACCATTGCAAGTAAATTCCGGACATCCCCCACACTCGCATCATCACCCTGACCTTGAGGTTTCCATGAAGCTCGTAAATCCTTTACACTCGTAGTCCTTTACACTCTTAAATCCCTTACCCTCGTACAACCACCCACACATCTCTGCACACACACCGCCTCACACCTCCCTTGCAGACAATCACGCCCGCAACATTCAGAATGCACTGCAGCAGGGAATCTTCCTGGAAGCCTCGGATACAGCTGGTCCCATACACCTGGCTCCATACACCTGGTAACAGCTTTCCCACCCACCTGAGTCACAGTGTTGCCCTGCAGGGGGCTGTCTGGCAGCAGGGAGTCACACAGAAGTGATTTTTTAGGCCTCAAATCTCACTCCCACCCACCCGGGCCCAGCTTTCCCACCCACCTGAGTCACAGTGTTGCCCTGCAGGGGGCTGTCGGGCAGCAGCGAGTCGCACGGAAAGGCGGGGCTCAGCTGGAAGAAGCGTGCGGGAGAGGCGAGGCTGAAGGCCTGCCACAGCCCCTGGCAGGTCTGCGGGCTCTCAACCTCGCTTATGAGCGCGTCCTCTACGGTGAATGGGGCAGTTTGCTGCAAGCTGATGGAGGGTGCGGCTGGCGAGATGTGTGCGTAGTGCTTGCACTTTATGTTTGTCTTTCCCGCGTCGTACCACTCTTGGTCAAACGCCACGCAGAGAAGCTGTGGGGAGGGGAGGAAGAAAGGGAAAGCAGCAGTAAAGGGGAAGGAGCAGCAGTTAAGGGGAAGAGCGGCAATAAAGGGGGAGGAGCAGCAACAGAAAGGGAGAGAAGCGAGGCAGGGAGAAGAGCAGCAACAAAGGGGGAGAGAAGCGAGGCAGGGGAGAGAGCAGTGATGACGGGTAGAAAGGTGGATGTGGATTCCACTCTCATCGTGCATCCACGCCGGAGGTGCCAACGAGATTGTATTAGTCCCAACAGGGGTGGGGTATATATTGGGGTACATTGGGGTATATTGAGGTACATTGGGGTAACTGGGGTACATTGGGGCATATTGGGGTATACTGGGGTATATTGGGGTATATTGGGGTACATTGGGGTACATTGGGGTATATTCGGCTACACTGGGGTACATTGGGGTATATTGGGGTTGTGAGCCTCGCGGAGTTTTTTTCCGGATATAAACAGCCAACCGCATGACTTGGGCTATATTTTCAATCCGAGTTCAAAGAGCTGCGGGGAATCACATTCGCGTTATTGTTTTTCTTTGCACCAGCTGCCCCCAAAAAAAGAACCGGCCAGGCGTTTGCGTTATTTCAATCCGCTGACCTCACCTGCCCGTGCCTTGGCCCATCGGAGCAGCTGAGCGCCCTTAGACGCGCCTCAAGAGTCGCCTTTTGAGGTGCCTCTGAACTCCCTTTAACCCGCGGATCTCACCTGCCCGTGCCGTGGCCCATCGGAGCAGCTGAGCGCCTTTAGAAGCGCCTCAAGTGTCACCTTTGAGGCGCCTCTGAACTCCCCTTAATTCAACCCGCTGATCTCACCTGCCCGTGCCTCGGCCCATCGGAGCAGCTGAGCGCAGGGTTGAGCAGCTCTATCTGCTTCTGAGTCGACTCAAAATTCACTATCTACTCAAAAGTGACCTCACCTGCCCGTGCCGTGGCCCATCGGAGCAGCTGAGCGCGGGGTTGAGCGGCTCTATCTGCGTGGCGAAGAGCGCGTTGATTGAGTCACAGGTGTCGCCCTGCAGGCACACATGTCAGATACAGGGGGTAGTGGAAGTGAGAGCGAGGTTACTGGGAGATTCTGGTTGCGCGACGCTATGTGAGCGGAGAAGAGCTTTTGAGGCGCCTCAGAATGAGCGCCGGGTTGAGCGGCTCTATTTGCGTGGAGAAGAGTGCGTTGATTGAGTCACATGTGGTAGCCAGGCATGCAATGGGCATGAGAAAACGAGTTGAGTAAAATCTCGACTCGCTTTTGTTACTCGACAGAGGCAAGTCGATTATTCAGAAATGCCACTTACGTAAAAAAAAAACCACTTACATAATTAACAGTGTACATTGCTGTACACTTGGAGAAAGCGCGGCTGGTGACATTGACCAAGGTGCCGGCAGGAATGGGAGCTCGACATTGGAAGCCCTGGTATCAGAGCATGGTATCAGGCATGGTATCAGAGCATGGGCAGTCGAGCAAGAGAGAGGGAGAAAGTCAGCGAAGGCAGAATGGGAGGGGTTCGACTCATGAAGCCATCTGAGTGGATCGGGAAAAGGAACAAGGAGAGATTGAGATAATCCAGCATACAACGAGGTGGTAAGAACAAGGGGACAGTGACGGGGAACGTGAGCAGGAAGGGCAATTTAGGGCAGGGAATCGACTTATACTGTGCCATAGTGCGATATGGAGTGGTAAAACTTGACATAGGACATGAGAACGAGCCGAGTTGACCCAGGCTTGTCTCAAACCGGTTGTGGCTCAACTGACTGTTTGTCGAGCAAAGTTGAGCCAACTTTGCCAAGCAGAGTAACAGGGGAGGCAACCCTCCTAGGTGCCCGGCTCCAGAATCAGAATATTGGTCCGCCAAGGGAGCAATCCGAATATTGGTTGGAGCCGAGATGCTCCCTTGGGCCTAGCCTAGAAGCCTCGAGTCCGGCTTGCCAGCTCGGTGATAAAATTTGGGTTCTGAGACGTTTCAAAACCCAACCTGTATCACGTAACTCTCCAGGTGCCCAGCTCGAGACTCAGAATATCGGGAGGAGCCGAGATGCTCCCTTGGACCAAGCTTAGTTGCCTCAAGTCCACCTTGCCAGCTGGCGACCTATCCAAGGCTTGCTCGCCAGAGGTGACTTCTTAGTCAACTAAAGATTAATCTCACTCTAAAGTCGCCGCGACCTATCCAAGGCTTGCTTTCCAGAGTTCAGCCAACCGAATCCGCACTGGAAGGCATTTAGCCCAGCAGATCCTTCCTCACCTTGTTTTCGCTGAAAAACTGGGTCTGTGTCAATCCGAAAGTGTTGAGAATGAGGGGGCATGTGAGACCAAACTGGGACAGGAAGGTTGGCATCCGCATTCCATCAGCTTGGACTGTAGACATGGTGGGGGAAGAGGGGGGGGAGGAAGAACATTAACTTTTGAGTCGACTCAAAAGCAGGAGCACGTGAGACCAAAGTGGGACAGGAAGGTTGGTATTCGCATGCCATCTGCTTGCACTGTAGACATGGTGGGGAGGGGGCGGGGTGGGAGAGAAAGAACATTAAAACAGAATACAGATCTTGGTCAGAGGTTTTAGTATAAGGTGCGAGTAGAGGCATAAAGGGAAAGAGGGAGGCAGATGCAAACGAACAGACTTTGAGGGAGTGGAAGAGCGCGAGGGCGATGGCATTGGAAGCAGAGAGCGCGAGGGCGATGCCTTGTGCATGTCTGCAGCGGTGAGGTGAGTGACTGACAGACATTTTGGTACTCTTTCCCCCTCCTCCTCCTTCCTCCCCTCAGGTAAGAATCTGAGGTTGTAAACAAGCAAGTGAGTTTGAGGTGCCTCACCTTTGAGACGACTTTTGAGGCGCCTCACTTTTGCGACGACTTTTGAGGCGCCTCAAAAGCCTCCTCCTCCCTCCCCTCAGGTAAGGACGCGGTGAAAGTGCAATTGTCGCGGGATCGTCTTCATATATCGAGCCTCACAATCGAGTGTACTGATCGTTTGGCGAAACATGACGATCGCTCCGTTGTAACGATCGCACCTGAGATTGGTGTTCTATGTTCCACATACGAGAACACTGCCTGCCTGCGACACGGGCCCAAAAATTACAAGCGTCGTCCAAGCCCACCTGCGACAGTCGCAGCCCACAGGGCAACCACCCTTGGCGATGTGATGTTTACAGATTTCGAATCGCGTTTGTGTTTGAGCTGAACTGATGGTTGTGTTGACGGGAGTGTTGACGGTTTTTGGATGGGTTGATGGATGTGCATCAGCGAGGCCCGAGTCGCGGTTGGAATGCTGCGAAATGTCGAGAGCCCTGGCGACTCCCTTTTCTGGCCCTGCGATAACTTCGGCGACTGCATGCTTCCGAATCAATCGCGCCAGGTAAGCTCGGTTCACTTGATTGATGCCTATCACTGATCTCCCGCGATCAACGATCAGTCTCATTCACACACAGAACCCTAATTTTGGCCAAAACATATACTGTAGAGTGGTTACATTAGGGTAAATAGGGTAACTGAGCCGCACACCGATCGCCACTGACGATCGCTCGTCTACTTTCACCGCGTCCTAAGAAGCTGAGGTTGTAAACAAGGAGGTGAGTTTTAAGGCGTCTCACAACTCATCTCATTGTAACTTACAAGGCAAGGTATGTAACTTACCCAGGGAGCAACTGGCAGTGCCCTTGGGAGAAAAGGTGAAGGGGAAGTACGGTGAAGGGCAGAGGCAGGAGTAGGCGCCATCTATGCCATCGATGCACACTCCTGGGGCGCAGGGGTTGGAGGAGAGCTGGCGACACGTGTAAGCCTCTGATGAGGGGACGGTGGGGTGGGGAGAGGGGAGAGTAGAAATTGAGGATGGTGGAAGAGGGGGAGGAAAGAGCAAGAAGGGGGGGGAGGGGGAAGAGAACGAGGGAAGGGGAGGGGATTGGGGGGATACAGTGGAAGGGGGAAGAGCAAAAGTAAGTCCCATCCACCTCAGCAGTGGGGTATGCATGTAGGAGCGGAGTAGAGTAGGCATGACGGCAACATTTTGAGGCGCCTCAATATGATTTTTGAGGCGCCTCAAAAATCGTATGTAGGAGCGGAGTAGAGTAGGCATGAAGGCAACATTGGGCTGACATTCCGGGAAGGCAATGGAAGCACAATACAAAGAAAGAAAGAAATAAAAAAAATTGAACTCTCACTTTCCCATCAAGACTGACCAGGGAGCAGGAGGGCAGGCCAGCGAGGTGAGTGGGCTCGAAGGAGGGGAGCTTCAAGGCGCACTTGCAGGAGGGCAGCAGGACAGAGGGGTCCCACGGGGCAAGTGCCTTGGCGCATAGGCCCAAACCAGCAAGGCACCTACCGCACCCCACCTCTCACCTACCGCACTCCACCACTTACCTACCGCGCTCCATGTCTCACCAGGGAAGCAGGAGGGCAGGCCAGCGAGGTGAGTGGGCTCGAAGGAGGGGAGCTTCAAGGGGCACTTGCATGAGGGCAGCAGGACAGAGGGGTCCCACGGGGAAGAGGACTTCGTGCACACACCCAAACAAGCAGGGCACCTACCGCACTCCACCACTTGCCTACCGCACTCCACCACTTGCCTACCGCACTCCACCACTTGCCTACCGCACTCCACCACTTGCCTACCGCACTCCACCACTTGCCTACCGCACTCCACCACTTGCCTGCCGCACTCCACCACTTGCCTACCCACTTCATACCTCGCCTATTGCACTCCATGGCTCACCAGGGAAGCAGGAGGGCAGGCCGGCAAGGTGAGTGGGCTCGAAGGAGGGGAGCTTCAAGGGGCACTTGCAGGACGGCAGCAGGACAGAGGGGTCCCACGGGGAGCGCGCCTTAGAGCATGCGCCCATGCCGCAGGGGAGCACGGGAGAATGGTTGCAGTAGTCAGTGTCTGCCCAGGGGGGTGGGGACGGGTGTGCGGGAAAGCTTTTGAGTCGACTCAAACGTCACGGAATAGAGCATGTGCCCATGCCGCAGGGGAGCACGGGAGAGTGGTTGAAGTAGTCAGTGTCTGCCCAGGGCGGTGGGGACGGGTGTGCGGGAAAGCTTTTGAGTCGACTCAAACGTCACGGAATAGAGCATGTGCCCATGCCGCAGGGGAGCACGGGAGAGTGGGTGCAGAAGTCAGAGTCTGCCAAGAGGGGTGAGGGCGGGTGTGCGGGGAAACGAGGGATGAGGGTGAGTGTGTGGGGAAACACGGGGCAGGGAGGAGGAAAGGGAGGAGGAGGAGGAGGAGGAGGAGGAGGAGGAGGAGGAGGAGGAGGAGGAGGAGGAGGAGGAGGAGGAGGAGGAGGAGGAAGTCAGAGTCTTTCAAGAGGGATGAGGGCAGGTGGGCGGGGAAACACGGGGGTGAGGTTGAGTGTGGGGAAGCAAGGGATGAGGGCGAGTGTGAGGGGAATTGAGGGATGAGGGTGAGTGTGAGGGGAAATGAGGGATGAGGGTGAGTGAGCGTGGAAGCGAGGGGGGACAAAGTGAGAGGAGTGTCAAGGAGACGCCCTCTTGAAGAGGTGCCTTCGAGGGGTTTGGGAAGGATGCAAAAGGATGTGAGGGGATGGGATGTGGATGGAAGGAGGGGATATGCGGGGATGAGATATGTGAAGTGAAGGGATGTGAGGGGAGGGAAAGGGATGTGTGGGGATGGAAAGGGATGTAAGGAGATGAAATGGGGTGATACTGGATGGAAGTGGAAGCGAGAGGGTGCAAGAATATTACAAACCTTTTCCTCTTTACAAACCCAGTTCCTCTTTACCAACCTTTTCCCCTCTCCCCTTTCCACCCCCCACTCCCCTCTCTCCCCTCCCCCCTCCCTCTTCTTACCCATAAACAAAAAGGATCAGACCTGCTACACCCTTTGCCTGTCTCTCTCACTCCTCATCTCACCCTTTCCCCCTCTCTCTCGTGGTCAGGGCTCATGGCTTGCTTTGCCTCCCCCCTCCCACTCTTCTCCCTTCTCCCCCCCTCCCCCCACACCCCCTACCTGTGAATCGGAAGGTCCAGGAGGAGAGGGCGACGGGGGAAGGCAGGCGGCCAGGAGGGGGAGGGAGAGCAGCGCTGGTGAACCCAACGAACAGCTGCCCAAAGGATGGCGACGATAGGTCCGTCACACTGCTGCTGCCACTGCCGCTGCCGCTGCTGCCGCCGCTGCTGCTGCCGCCACTGCTGCTGCTGCCACTGGTCTCAGCCACTCCAGTCAGTGCAGCACAGAGGTCAAAGCTGAGCCTTGTGCTGCCTTTCAACACTGGCGGCTTGTACCACCTAATCAGCATCTCCTTGCTGCTCCCGTTATAGTCAACCCTCATCTGCCACACCTCGTCCGGCTTCATCGCATAAAACACCTTCTTTGCGAAAATCGACGTCATGTTGAAATCGGTGTTAACGCCAATGTGAATATCATTTATATCGCCTGTTTCCGGGTTTACTATAGTGTCCCACTCCACAGCTACACTCCGAGCGCCGTCCGGCCAGCTGCCATTAGCGAGTCGCGAGGATGGGTCCCGGCCGTACCCCATATAAGCCCCGCCTTGACCTACGGTCGCATGTGTGCTTATAACAAACGCGAGCCCTTGGGAGGCGGATGTATTCATGGAAAAGCCGTATGTGAAGGTGAAGGAGCGAGCCTTGCAGACAGGAGGCTCGGTGGCTATGGGTTGGGAGGGTGAGGAGGAAGGAGAGGAACGGGGGGAGCTGGTGCGAGGACGAGGAAAAGGAGGAGGAGGGAAGGGAGGGGAGGAGGAGGAGTAGAGGAGGGGGATACGGCAGGGGAAGAAGATGGCTCCAGGGGCGGGATTGTTTGATTGGCCGATGGATGCCACATCAGCATCGACGGAGAGATCGGCAGCGAAGAAACGCTTCCGTGTGCTGCCACGTGTCAGCAAGGGAGTGGCTGGCGTGATGTAGGGGAAGGAGAACGAGTCTGCCGCCCAAAACGGAAGCGGATCCTCCGCTGCTGGGGTGAACGAAGGGGGGGGCGAGAAGGGGAGGAGAGGGGACGGGGGGAAGGAGGGTTGGATGAAACGTAAGCGGATCCTCCGCTGCTGGGGTGTAGGGTGGACCGTGGGGCTAGGTAGGTTCCCGGCTCCTCCACTCCTCTTCATAGCAAATCTGGAGGACATGTGATGGCGAAGGAAACCCACATAGACGATTTGACTGTGGGGACGAGCTGACCGCGAGGATGAACGAGAAAAGCTGCGGTGGGTACAGCATAAACAGTTTTCTCAACATAGAACCAAATCAACCCACAAAAAAAAAAAAAACACAGTGAGTGAAAGACACTTCACGCACTCACCCTCCCCCACTTCAAACCTCCACCCCAGCACCTGTTGATGTCACTCAAACAACTCACCCTTGCCGGCTTGGAACTCACCCTCCCCGACTTGGAACTCACCCTCCCCGACTTGGAACTCACCCTCCCCGACTTGGAACTCACCCTCCCCGACTTGGAACTCACCCTCCCCAACTTGGAACTCACCCTCCCCGACTTGGAACTCACCCTCCCCGACTTGGAACTCACCCTCCCCGACTTGGAACTCACCCTCCCCGACTTGGAACTCACCCTCCCCGACTTGGAACTCACCCTCCCCGACTTGGAAGCTCCACCCCAGCACCTCGTGCGCCTGAGCCTGCTCCGCCCCCTTGCCCGTGGCCGCTGTGAATCCCACAAACAGCGGCGGGGGGGGCGCCGCTGCCTCCGGGTCGTTCCCCCCCAGCCACTCGCAGGTGTCCACGAATGTGGTGAGCACGGCCGAGCGCGGGAGAGAGGGGGCGGAGTGGGAGGAGGAGGAAGAGGAGGAGGAGGGGGAGGGAGAGCGAGTGAACCGGGGGAAACCAGGGAAGCAAGGAAAGCGACAGGAGGAGCGAGGGGTGGAGGGGGGGGGGGAGGAGGAGGGGGCAGGGGAGAGCCAGACGGTGAGGTGGGAGGAGGAGGCGTTGTACTGGATGGTGGCGAGGAGGGTCTGGCCGGCGTTGAGGGAGGGAATGCCGAGGGGGTGCACGGGGGCAGAGGCGAGAGAGAGCATGCTGCCGTGCAGGTTCATCCCCACGTGGTGGTCGGGGCGGTCGAAGAATTCAGGAGAAGAGGATGTGTCGAATTCCACTGCCAGGCTCCTGTGCTGCTGGGGGTGTGTGTGGGGGGAGCAGGAGGGGGAGCAGGGGAGTGGGCAGAAGAGCAGCAGAGAAGGAGAGAATGAGGGCAGGAGAGCAAGGCAGGAAGAGTAAGACCAGCAGACAATGAACAGGGAAGACGAAGCAGAAAGACGAACAGCAAAACCACAACAAACGCCATCCCATTACTGCCTATCCCCGCCCCGCTCCATTGGGTGTGCGGATGCGGAACGCAAAGGAACTGTACCTGAGATGACACGTACCTGAGATGACACGTACGTGAGATGACACGTACCTGAGATGACATGTACCTGAGATGACATGTACCTGAGATGACACGTACCTGAGATGACACGTACCTGAGATGACACGTACCTGATATGACACGTACCTGAGATGACATGTACCTGAGATGACATGTACCTGAGATGACACGTACCTGAGATGACACGTACCTGAGATGACATGTACCTGAGATGACACGTACCTGAAATGGAACACTGCTGGTGCTGATGAGATGCGCGTACCTGCGAGTCATCAGCACCGGTCGTGCTCCCCGGGGGCAGCAGCAGGCGGCCGTACCCCAGGGAGGGCCCCGGCAAGCCAAGAGTGGGAGACGGCAGCATCACAAACGCCAAGCCCTCGCCGCCCAGCCCGGCGGCGTTGGGGGAGGAGATGCGGAAGGTGAAGGAGGTGGAGAAGGAGAAGGGGCGGCAGGGGGAGGAGGGCGTGGCGGGGGTGAGCAGGGCGAAGGGGGTGGGGTGCAGCGCGAGGGCGGCAGCGTTGAGGTCGGAGAGCGTGGTGAGGGAGAGGGACGAGCGGTTGCGACGGGTTGAGCCGGCTGTGAGAAGCGGGTGGGAGCTGGAGAGCGGCCAGTGGGAGAAGGACTTGAGAGGGGAGGGGTCAACTGCAGGGCAGTGGGATGGGGAGTGAGGGGAGAAGGGGAGGGGAAACGGAATGGGGAGCGATTTTTAGGAGCGTCGAATAGGCACGGGCAAAGTAGCGGTACGTTTGGTACCTCGTTCCTTTTTCTTTTTTTGAATTGTATCTACAATCAGCCGCTTCAAGGTTCGCTTTTGAATAAACAAACCGACCTCGGTTTGGTTTGATAGTTTAACTTTCATAAAGTCACAACTCCAAACAGCATTTGTTCTTGACACTGTAAAGGTGTGCAAGGGGGGAGCGGGGTGGGGTTTGGGAAGAGAGGGGGGTATGACATGAGATGAGATGTGTCTACTTGGTTGAGAAATGATAAATGAATGGCCGAGCGACACCAATGTGTATATTCCTCCGTTACAATACTGTAAGAGCATTTCATGCTGTAGATATGTAGCTGGAAAGTCTACTTGTAGAAACTGGTGAATTACACTTAGAAAGGTTGCCATTTTGGGTAGTACTAGGAAATAGTGTAGGAATGAGCTGGAGGTTGAAATGAGCTCCAACTCAGTGGACATTAATGGGGATAACTCTCATCCCGCGGCGGTTCGACATGATTCGACGTGCTTCGGTAATTTTAAACGTTGAACTCGTCGAACCACCTAACCAGTTCGGCACCAATCGGTTAGGTCTGTTTCCACCTGGCGGGAAGAAACCCTCGCCTGGCTCAATTCGGTCTGAACCGAACCGCACCCGAGTGATTGGCGGTTCGTTTCGGCACTCATGTCGAACCCACAAACATTCGTCTCAGTCAGACCGAAGGAGCGTGTGGAAGCTGGAGAGGGGTTGGGGGAAGAAGGGCTTGAAGGGGGAGGGTCGTTTTACTCTTCAACTCGTATTTGCTGACTTACATGTTTGGGCTTTTCTGAAAAGAATTCGGCCGAGTTGAGTCGAGTAGAGCTCGCGGTTTTTAAGCAAATTCGAGAATAACTCGACTTTTAATTCGTTGCGTCATTCCAGCGCCAGGTCCGCGCGGATTAGACAGTTCGCCGCCATATCTGCGCGGAACGGGGATTTCGCCACCAGATCCGCGCGGATATGGTATGTCGCCGCCAGATCCGCGTGGAGATGGGATTTCGCCACCAGATCTGCGCGGGGATGGGCTTTCGCCACCAGATCCGCGCGGAGATGGGCTTTCGCCACCAGATCCGCGCGGAGATGGGCTTTCGCCACCAGATCCGCGCGGAGATGGGCTTTCGCCACCAGATCCGCGCGGAGATGGGCTTTCGCCACCAGATCCGCGCGGAGATGGGAGTTTGCCGCCATATCCGCGCGGATTAGACTTTTCGTCACCCGATTCGCGGAGATCTGGCATTTCGCCGCCATATCCGAGCGGAACGGGAAATTCGCCGCCATATCCCCGTGGATTTGGCATTTCGCCGCGCGGGAAAACCAGAGGCACCACCATGGCTGAAACAGGTGGCGGGCAGGATGCTACGAGTCGAGTTCTGCCCGACTCGTGACGAGTTTTAAAAAACTCGACCATACAGTCGAGTTAGGAGTCGACCCAGAGTTGAAAACTCGCGAAAACGAGTCGAGTAAAACTCGACTCACCATGGGGGTAGTGGTGGGGAAGGGGGGTGGGGGAACCTTCACTTTGCACGGTGAGATGCGACTCGTCACTTCACAAACCTGCGGTTCTGTCAAGTTCAGCTAACCATTTTGTCTGCCGACTCACTGACTCACAACGAGCAGGCATGACAGACGCGAGGTCAACGGCAATGCTCTCTGCCTCCGACGCCACTCCCTCTCTCCTTGAGTTCACCACATTCACCCCTCCTGCTCCTCCTGCCCCTCCTCCCGTACTCGCAGAAACAGCGAGTGCTGATGATCCTGCTGTCTCTCCCACACCCTCTGCTGCCACTGCAGCAGTTTGGGCTGCAGGTACGGCATCGCCTGTTGAGGTCCCACCAGCTGTTGCCACTGCGGGCGTTGTTGCTGCCCTTGCTCCTGCTGCTCTCTTCAACCCAAAGCTCCAGAACTGCCGTAGCCCAAACGACCTCAGTCCAGGGAGGTTTAGTCTGGGGAACCGGAGAAGCCTTCCCAGGGCAGATTTAGTGCTGGCAAGGGCGGATGCAGCGCGGGAAAGGGCGGGGTGTGACGCTGGCCGGATTTGGAGGCCGAGGGAGGTGATGGTAAAGCCGCTGCTCCCTGTGCTGTCAGCACCGCTTCTGCTGCTGCTGCTGCTGCTGCTGCTGCTGCTGCTGCTGGCGGTGGTGGTGGTGGTGGCGCTGCTAGTACTCCTGCTGTCACTGCTGCTGCTGGCAGCGACGCTGCTAGTGGCGGTGACGATGGTGCTGCTGCTGGGAGTAGTACCGCTGATCGTGGCGATGGTGGCAGCGCTGCTGCTGGTGGCGCTGCTGCTGTTACTGGCTTGCACGCCTCGAATCACCAAGTGCAGCGCCACTCCCCCGGGAGGAACTACCAACGGGGAAGAAGAGGAGGGAGAATTCGGGAGGTCAGGGAGGGGGAAGAGGAGGGGTCCCACTTGGAACCAAGGCAAGGCGCCGGACAAACTCGCGCTGCTCCCCCCACACGGCACACCCACCCGCCACTCCCCCCACACCTGCTCCACCGCTCCCCCCCCCCCTGCTTCTCCGCCTGCAGTGGAAGCGTTCAACGGAACTGCCAGCAGCAGCACCTTCAACAGTCGTTCCGCCTCCCCTTCCGCCTCCGCGCACTGGCTGGCGCGCGCAAAGAATGAGAGCGACAGCTGGCGCGGGGAGCGCTCCTGCTGCGCCTGCTGCGAGTCATTGCTGGTCGGCGCCGCGGGTTTGAGTTCGCACAGCGCTTGCGATACGCCTGGGCCGCCAAACGCGCTACTTCTATTGTTACTATTAGAAGTGCCGTCGCCACTAGTCGACGCGGGAATAGCGGAAGTCAGCCGGAAAAAACGGGACCCATCAGCTGCCAGTAGGGTGTCCGTGACTCCCGTGACCCCGTTCGCTATTGACACGTCAGCAGGCGACGCCGTCCCTTCTGCGGCCGTTCCCGCCGCCGCTCGTGCAAGAAATGCTCCGTTGTTTCCGCCACCAAGTGCGGTGGCTAAGATTTGGTCGCCTGAGAATGCTTCCCCAGGTTCTAACGTGCGCCACGGGAATGAGTACGGCCACGGTGAGCACGACGCGTTCAGCTTCTTGCGACGCCATCCTATATCGAGACAGCTAGTCTCGATGCTCGGGTTTGAGAGGAGGTTGGATGCGCCACCTGTGGCGGGCAATGGAGGGGGTAAAAGGGAAGAAAATCGAAATTAAGTGGCAACCGAGCGAATAGCGAACTTCAAAGTTTTTTCCTGGTCTTGACATATCCGCCAGCTGACTGTTACTACAGGCTGGAAAGAAAGGACGGGAGGAGCAGAAAACACGCGGGGAAACGGGTTTAGGATGGCTGGAAGCGGATAACGAAGTGAGAATTTTAACATTCACATTTGTAGCAACTTGGAACACGCGAGGTATTTGAAGAGTCCCTGGAGGGGTGCTGATGACTCGACCTCGTATCGCGAGACGCCGGTGGCGACCCGTCACTACCCTACCACTCCAGTAGGTGCAGCTACGAAACCCGGTAATTCAAAGAGCGGAAATAAAATAATAATCTCGAGGCTAACGTAGTGGACTTACTACTTGGATTCGTTAGGTTGAGGCAGTCGACGAGACCATCGGCGACACCAACTACGGCCACGACAGCGATTATAAATGTAACCCGAAAAGCAATCATGGCACTGAGAGGGCACGTGGCCCCTGAGTGAATGCGCACGCTGCGGCGAGAAATGCGTCCACGGTCCATCTGCTTACGAGTTTAGGAGGGAATGCATCTAGAGTAGAACACTAATAACATGATCCGACGGCTTTATCTGAAATAAGCATTGGCGTGTGAGAGAAAATCCTGGACTTACACCTTCCCATTTGGAGTTTGGCATCAGGATGAGATTCTTGGGAGGGGCAGTCTGCGGAAGTCCATGTATAGAATCCATGGTGGTCTGAGGTGGAGCATACAGAGGATAGTACATCTCTGTATAGGGTTTTTTTCTTGCCCCGGGCAGCAATTTTGTTGGGCGGAGTCAGTTTTTTGTTGAACCATACCGCCGAATATATCTCAGCGGACAAGCGAGTCCGCCCAGGGGAGCTCGCTGCCCGCGGGCAAAACAAATAAACCCCAGAAGGGCATGCATCCGGTCAGGGAGGCATCAACCCTAAACACAGGGAGGCATGGATTTAGGGTTGATGCCTCCCTAGGATGGCATGCCATCCGATAGGGTTTTAGTTTTTTTCTGCCCGGGGCAGCATGTCGTCAAGTCGTCAGAGGGTCGTCAGGCTTGAGGAGCGATTGCGGCAATGTCAACCAGATACACCCTGTTTCGCGCCACACTGACATTCGCTGTATTGACATGCCGCCTATGCTGACATCAACGCGTCCAAAACGGTCCCAGAACACTGCATATAAGCACAATTTGCCGCACTCAACCGTACGCGATAGCAATGTTCTGTCATAAAACGTTTTGTATCGTTCAAATGGACTGCATTTGCCCGCCACCTACCTGGGGTTCGGCTGCAAGCACCAGCCCGCAAAATCCAAGCGCACGTTCGCACTGTAGCCCGGGCTCCCGATTGTCAGAACGTTGAGAAACAGGGTGTACAGTGCTGTACCTGATTGAAGGCTAAGTCAACGAGGTACAGTTGTACTGCACAGCACACCAATTCAGTTGCAAGGCACCCCCGTTTCGAGCCGCATGATTCGAAACGTGCGGCTCTCTCTGGAAACAGCCTTGCTGCGGATTGGTTGGAAATATCGAATCCACGGCTCGAAAGCAGCACCCACCAATTCTGTTCACCCTCTGCGGTTCACTTGGTTTCCTCACGGTTCTCGCATTATCGTTTTGGAACACAAATTACGCATAGAAATTGTGATATTTTTAGCAGAACAAAATCTCATGGAGAGCTATTGCAGCAAAGGTTGCATCCCGTATGAGCAAGGCAAATATGAGCCTTCAGGCGGTCAAGAAGCTGTTTTTTTCGACGCCAATAGCTGAGTGGGGTAGGCTATTGGTGTTGACGAGGAAATGTCGTGCCCTCGCTTGGGTGAAGCTAACTTCATTGGTCGGCATGCTAGGTGTGCAACCGGCTAAGCTTCGTGGTTGGCACCGACTTGGAGGGTTAATTTGGCGAGTTTGGTTAGCCGACCAAAGTGAATTCGACCACAGTGAAGTAGACATCGGCGAATCTGGCCACCGCCCAGACGCTGGCCACCGCCCAGACGCTGGCCAATGAAAGTCGGCGGACAGCGTCGAGCCTCAGTGGTCGGTGACAGTGATCATCAACATGCCACTGACCCAACATCGTCGTCTGCGTCGGCTGGGCGGCCTCTTCTGGTCGACCAAGTGACCATCGGCGAAGTTCTGCAGGATGCACGAACTTCACCTCAAACGGTTTCGGCGAAAGTCGACCTGCGGGCAACTGTGCACGGTGTGGGCAATCGTCTGTTGAGCATACATGCGGCTGCAACGCCGACAGGCCGCCTTGATGTAACGCTGGCAAGACGTCGTCTTGAAGTGCTGGCACGTTGCCTTCCAGCTGCGTTCGCAACCCGCCTTCATGCTGCTTTGGAAGCTCTCTTGCTAGGTTTCTTGTCGTGTTGCATTGTGCTCCCGCTATAGCAAGTTGCTTTATCATAGTGTGTTTTTATCTCTTGTCTGAATAAAAACCTTGCCAAATTCACCTACGAACACAGCAAGTACTGAGAAGATTAGTGCTTGGATCACCTCCTACAAATCATGGCCTCCAATGTAGGTCACCTTCCACTGTAGAGCGATTCTCTACCATCAAGAACAGGGAAGCTGAAGGTTAAGGAGTGTAATAGTGTGTCGCATGGTGTTTAGGTCCTTCCTGTCTGTACCATGCTGGAGTGTAAGGATTGTTTTTTCGACGGCCTCAACTGCACACGGAAGCAGCAGAACTTCAAGGCATGGCTAAAGCGGACAAGACAAATGGTATGTCTCATAGGTACGAGGATTTTGGAGGATCACACATTTTGGACACAGCTGCAAGCGCACTCTGCTGTAGCGCAGCCATAGCTCGGGGGGTGGCGATTGTTGCCTTCATCGGCAAGGTGAAATTGATGGGGGCTGTTAAGAACGGGTCGGGCTGCCGGTGTCCGTGGTCCGGAGAGACCTAGAGACTGTGTTGGTGGCGACTTAATTCCCCGCAAGTGCGATGGCATGCGGTGGTTTCTTCGTTGGTACTTAACAAACGTTCGTTTCCTTGTTGTTGAGC